CCAAAGCTTGGGACGGACCCCCACAACAGGACCCTCTGGCACCCTAGCAGGTTTGTCCCTCCTGGGGGGCACAAACAGCAGCAACCCCACCCCATGGCCATCAGGTCCTGTGGGCCCCCAAGATCCTGTCTCCCTCACCCACCCCGCCCCTCCCACTCCCACCCCCATTGGCCAGGCCAGCCCCCGCACCATCCCGATTGGCTCTCTCAGTTGCTCATCAAGCCCTTGGGGTATTTATGCAGGGCGAGGCCAAACACTCCCCATCCTGTCAGTGCTGGGGAGCAGAGGCAGCAGGTAAGGCTGGGCTGGTGGGGAGGTGTTCATGGGGTTTGTGGCTTAGCTTGGGGGCCTCCTCGAGGTTGCCCCTCACCCTTGGGTGGCTCTTTGGAGCCCTCCCAGGGATGGAGGCTGGGCTTGGAAATGGCTCCATGCTTGGAGCCCTTGGCCCCTGGGGAGCACTGGGGCTGAGAGGCTGTGCTGCCCCAGCACTGCCCATGAGGCTTTTCCAGCTCCCTGAGAAAGCACAGAGCTGTGTATTGTGTCATGGCTGCTTTTCTCCATCTGTTGGTGGGGGGTGTCTTGGCTTGCTGAGGCCAAAAGTGACATCCTATGGTGTCACACTGCATCTGGGGAAGAGCTGAAATGCTCCAAATCCTTCCCTAAAGGCTTCTTCCTAGATGACTTCTGGGTAACACTATGGGTCTCTGATCTGTGACTGACCAGCTTTGGGTCTGAAAGCTCTCTTCTGCTTATCGTCTGGTGAAGATCCAAGCTGGGTGAGGGGGTCCACAGGAGGTGGCTCTCCCACCCAGCCATGCAGGGACAGCATGTGCATGATGTGCACCCTAGACATCACTGCTGACTTGTGTTGATGCTGGGGGAAGCGGTACATGCCTCAGGAGGCACACGGATCAGTTGGGCATTCCCTTCCTGTTGACAGCGCTACCAGACCTGCCTGTAGCTATTTCACATGATCATTAGGTGTAGGCATGATAATAGTGCTAACGAAGGGGGTGTCTTAAGTGGCAAGGTATCTTCACTTGCTCAAGAGCTCTGTCTCTGCGCAGCCATGCACGGCTCTGCCAGCTTGCTGGAGGGACCACTTGGTAAAACAGCTTAGTGTTTCTCAAGACTAACAGGGTTTTTAAATGTGATCGTGACTACCTGAAACTGTGTATGGCTGTGAAGGATTTCAATTACTGAAGGATTTCAATTACTGAAGCTGGTTCTGCTGAAACTTCCGGATGAAAATTTGTGTTAACACACACCTGCATGTTACAGCTTCTGTCTGAAACTGAGAGGTCTGTCTTCATAGAAAAATTGGTAAATGGAAAGCGCTAGAAAGCTGGGAAGCTGTTTTAATTAAACTCCCTCCTGTCTTTCCTAAAATATCTCAAAATTCTAGTAGCTGGGGTAGCTTATACACTGGCTGTGGTCCTTGATTCCCATTGGCAGGGGAAAACCCTGCCTCCATCTTTACTCTTTGATATTCCCTAATGCCGATGGCGTTTCCAGAAAGGCTAGGTGGGCACCTCTACCAGCAGTTCTGCAACTTACGTCCTAAGGTTAAAGCTGAAAATAATCTGATCCTCCTCTTAAAACTAACTCTGCTCTGGGAGCATTTGCAAACAGCAGTGCTGTTCCTCTGCAGCAGCCATCCTGTGATCCCGTCCTGCCGACTGTGTTTATGGTAACTGGGGTATCGGTGGCAAATCTCTAAAAGAATGTAAATAAGTGCTTTGACCACAAATTAATACCTCTGCCCTGATTAGCACTCCCTGCTCATATCTAAAGCACTCATTTTGCTTTGTGTTCCTAAATGGTCATTAAGGAATTGACAGTTAAGCTATTGAACTAGCTATGGCTCAATTGGTCTTCCCAAGGTAAAACACATTTGAGGAGGAGAAAAGCTTCCTGAACAAGAAGATCCTACCTCTCTGCAGGACAACATAACAGCAGGCTAGCTTCATAGAGCAGAGCTGCTTTCCACAGGTAAATACAAATACGTAAGTTAAAGAATAGTTTTATGTGTGCTGGTCAAACAGGCAGCAGCTTGGCAGGTTTGGTGTCACTGCCCTTGCTGTTTCACTGAGTTCAGACTTGGGCCAAATTGGGCAATGACCAGCAGCCAAGCTATTTTGCCACGCTAGAAATAGGCTCTGAACAGAGTTTCACCTTTCTGAGAATACCCATTTCAAGAACTTTCTCCAGTGGTGACCTAATATTTCTCATGTACCAATGGCATGAAATGATCTTGTTACCGCTTTCATACAAAGCAAGCCGTCACCAAAGCAAACGGTGGTGCTGTTTCTGCTCTTCTGCCTGGTGGTTCCCATGCATAGGGTCTGCCTGATGGGATTCCTGCTTGCAACTACACCTGCTTGAAGCTGTCCCTTTCTCCAGAGGATTCTGAAACAATTGACCCAGAGTTGCCGAGCACTGTGGTTTCCTTCAGTCTCTGAAGTAAGACAAGGTCTGTTGAGCACTCTCACAGGGGAGAAACTAGAAAAAGAAAATAAAACCATGCTGGAGGCTCATGAAGATCTGCCCACGCTGCAAATACTGGCATTGCAACACACCTCAATTCCTCCTACAGAGGAAAGCAAACCATGTTCTGACACGACTGTGCTGCAAGGACAGCACTGACACAGTTGCATCTGTAATTAAGATGGGCTCCTATACTCCAGAGGTTGATTATAGCCTCATACTAGTTTTTACATCAGCCAAGGAGTTGCTCCTGACTTAGGCTAGTGGCTAAAGTCCTCTCCTCCTTTTTTTGCTGCGGTGTCTGTGTGCTAACCCTGACACCAAGGCCAGTGAGACACTCTGCAGTTGGAGTTTTTCCCCACCTGTCTACAAGTGAAATAACTGAGCCAGGGGTTGTTTGGAATGGTGTTAAAACAGCTGTGCTTTGCCCTGTGACCAGGGTGCAGACTGATTCAGCCTTCAAAAAAAAACCAACCCAACAAACTTGCCTTAAAGACATTTAAGAGGAATAAGCAGCAACTGAGCAAACCCTGTGGACTTTGGGACTGAGACTTTGTTCAAGCCCTGCTTTTGTCTAGAGCAGTTTTCCAGAAGTTCTCCCAGGCTGACCAATTTCAAGCTGTATTTTGGGTGTGCTGTTAAATTAGGCAGCCCCCCTGGGCAGGGTGGGTACCAGGAATGGGCAGAAAAGCGCTGGCTCTGCATTTCTTGCTTGAGAGCCTGGAGGTCCCAACGTTTGCGACAACTTTTGCTGCAGACATGTAGCATTCTGCATTCCTG